CCAGGTGTGTGCCCTCCTCCTGCCGCTCCGGGCTCGGGGCGGCCGCCGCGCCTCGGCCCAGGGAGGGAGGGTCCGGGAGGGCTGGAAGCTAGGCCTTCGCTCGCGACCTGGGCGGGGGAGTCCTGGGCACCGGCCCCGGAAATGGGGGGGGAGGCAGAACTCGGGGTGGGTGACCGCTGGGCACCCGGGTCAGGAAGAGGAGGGAAGCTGGAGGAAAGGCTCTGGGCTGAAAAACTTGCTTCCGGCCCGGTCCCCGCCTTAGAAATGGGCACCCTGCCCCCAGAGGTTGCCAGGCCCATAACCGGGGCCCTGTCTTCAGAGTCCAGGCGCCGGGAAAGCGAGGCCCAGGAATTAGCATGACTGAGATTCCCGCCGTGGGCCTTGTCCGGCCTCGACGCGTTTTATTGTCTCCTTTCCCTTCCCCAGGCCTGGGCCTGCCTTCATTTACCTTCCTATCGGTTCCCAGGCTGAGGATGTCTCAATACACCTCTCCCTGCCAGCCAAGGCCTTCAGCCTGGGAGAATGTGTCCTGACCCTGCCCATTCCCCACAGGCTTGGGGAGCACTTCCCAAGGCTGCTCATCCCAGTATGCCCCTGAACTTGCTGAAAGGGGGGCTTGGAGTCCATGGGGGGGCTTGGAGTCCTGGGGGGCCAGTGGTCAGGCCCGTCCCCTTCCTGGATCTTGGGTCCTCAAGACATATTTACTGCCCTGTCTGAGTGGACTATGGCCGGCAGTCAGGTCAGACGGAGGGTGTGTCAGGCATGGGCTAGAGGGTGACTTTCTCTTCCAGCTTCTTCTCTTGGGCTCCCCTGTTGCACCCCAGTCTGGTGTCCACTTTCTGAGTCTGCCGGTTGTTGTCTGCGTCTGGAGGGTGAAGACCCTGGCCTAGGTCACTGACACATGGGGCTCATTTGTTAACCTCTCTGCGGTCCTGAGACTGAAGCCATGCCCCTGGAGAGGGCCCTTGCGGGGGCTCATGGGAGCATGTGGGGTGTCTATTCTGAGTGACACTGCCCTGCGGAAAGCATGTTTGTCATTATCCTTGTGAGGATGAGTGTGGACAGGAGGCAGGCGAAGGAATCCCTGTCATCAGGGGTGCAGTGATGCGGAATCGTCAGTCTTCACGTACGTGGTCCAGTCTGTGGATCCTCGAAGCAGGCATGTGTGGACTGGACAGCAACCTGTCCTTTGGGGTGTGGTCACTCACTGGGTAGGGTGGACAGGAACAGGGTTACTCACAGGGGGGTAGGCTGATCAGGAGCAGGGCTACTCCAGTGGTATAGACCCAAACAGGTAACTGAGTACCTGGAATAGACAGGTGAGTCACTCTGTCTGTGGACTGAATAGGAGCCGGTCATTTGAAGTGTCTGCAAGGTGGACCAGAACAGGGTCACCCTCAGGCTCATCACTCTCATCTGACCTGGGCAGAGGGTAGCAGCTTCAGGTGGGCTGGGTCAGCATCACTCTGAAGGGAGGTCTGCGGCCAGCTGTGTGGTCTTCAGACTTGAAGGATGAGATCAGAATGGTTATTCTGGCTTTCACTAGGAGGGTGTGACTCTCCTCAGGTGGATAAAAGCCAGGTCTCTGCAGTCACTGGTGCAGACAGCTATTCCGAGTTTGATATCTTTGTTGCATTGTGAGCAAGAGTGTCAAATGGTGATGGAAGGCATCAGTCTGCAGTGATCTTACTTTCTAAATCAAAAAGAGAATGTATCTGTTGGTTTGGAAAGTACCTCGATAAGGTGAGCAGCAGTCGAGGTGATGTGATGGAAATCGGAAGTGGTATGATCTTAAGAATGCCCGGTGATTTGTGCTGTCGGTCAGAGTATTTGAACGGACACAGCTGGAGCATCCCAGAAGTATGGTCCTCAAACACACACACCACTGGCCATGTCCACCAGGAGACTGGAGGGGACAAGAGCTGTGTGTTGGGACCTTCCACGAGTGTCACCCCCATGTTTGTGGGGTGACTCGGAGCTTTCTCTCCAAAGGGACTGCATACGAACGGGTCAGCTTCTGCGAGGCTGGTCCGGAGCCAGGTCGCCATGATGCCCTGTGTCTGCTTGTGCTTAGCTGCCCAGTGAGGCCTTCCCCCCAGCCCCCACCAGCAGTGGGGTAGACACTCCACGAGGAACCCCTCTCCTGGCGCTTTATGTGAGGGAGGCCTTGTCGGGCAGCCTTTCTTTAGCTTCGTCATGGTCTGGGTCTGTAACACCTGGTTGTGATCGGATTACCAAGTCCAGGTACGTCAGGGAAATGAGACTAAGCAGGTGGCCACAGTATCACCGAGTGGATCGGGGCAGCGTGGGAAGTAGTGGCGGTGGGCACGCAGGGGCTGGACCCACACCGTGTCCCTGGAGTGGCACGGAAGATGTCCTGAGGCCAGTGCTGTGGGTCCCGCCCGGCCGTGGCAGTCTGACAGACCGCAATTGAGGGCATAGCAGTGGCGGCAGTGTGAGACCAGGGCAGAGCAGAGGTGGGCGAGGGGAGACCATAGTCCCCTGCTCCTAGACAGGTAGGCGCCAGTCGCAGAATGTGCTTGCTGAGCGCGTCCATTACTTAGTGTCCGCCACAGGACTCCTGCGTTCTGTCCTCAGGACAAGTCACAGGGACCGTGTCGTACGCTGTGTCGATTAACCGGAAAGACGTACGCAGGCATGCTTACGTTAGGCACGGCTCTTTGCCCCATATAGATTCTATCTGTGCCTGGGGGGTGGCCAGAGCCCTGTCACCTACTCTGTCTGTGGGATGACTGGGGACCTGCCTGTTTGGTAATGTCAGGCTCTGCTGTGCAGAGAGAGCAAGGGAGCCCTGCGGTGTGCGTGCGTGCAGATGCACGTGCAGATCTCCATCGATCGGGCAGACACCGTGGGCTTCCCCTCTCACGCCTGGGCACAGCCGGGCAGCTGCGGGCTGCCCAGTCCTCGCGCTGTCCCTGGGCTGGGACCTGCCCGCCTGCATACAGCTGGGCTTCTGGGCTCTTCCAGTAGACTCCAAGATCCCTTGGTTTGCGCACCCTGCGCCCCTGGTTGAAGAAATAAGGCTCAGTTATCTGAGGCTCAGTTTCCCTCATGTGTACATGTAGCTGTTTCAGTGTGTCTCTTAAGGTCTTTCTGGCTCTTAAATCTCCATGTCCAGGTCACTTTGGTCCTTTCTCTCGCGAGTCGCCGATGACCACCACACCTAACAGTGCTGCGAGCTGGCAGTGGCCATCTTTGAGTCGTCTTATCGAAACTTCACTAGAACTCCTTGCCAAGGAGGCATTCTGCCCCTTTCTCAAAGATAAGAAATGAGTATCTAAATAAGTTAAAGTGATTTCTGCGATTGTCTGAAGACTGGCAAGGTGCCTCCTCACCTCTTTCCTTCTTTTCTTCCCCTCCTCCCTCCTTTCCCTCCTTCCTGCCAGAAACCTCTGCTCAGGACCAGCTGAGCCTCAGGGGGAGGAGAGCCAGAGGGTAGCTGGAGGGGAGCCGGAGGGGAGCCGGAGGGGAGCCGGAGGGGAGCGGGTGACTAACAGGCAGGGTCTGAACCCCCTGCAGCTCCCCTGGGTGACGGACTAGACACGGGCTTGGGCCAAGACAGGAGGGCCCATGTGCTAGAGACATCTGTCTCCACCTAGTGTGGCTGGTGTTGCTGAGGTGCAGATGCCCAAGCGAGACAGATGAAGCTCACCCCTTGAGTTTGAGATCCACCCAGACGCACCCAGGATTCTATGACGGTGGTTGTAGGCATGCTCCCTGCACGGAGACGCTCCAGCAGGCTGCAGTAGCCACACTAGAGCACCAGGGACACCTGGCGCGATGAAACCAGAGTGGCCATCTCACATGGGGGGGGTTATTTCTAACAGCCGCAGGTGGCACACCACAGGGCGCCCCTAAATAAGTGCTTCGGATCCTCCCTGGACTTAGCAACAGTAAGGTTGTGGGGATGGCAGGCAGCCTGGGGACCTTGATACCTGGTCACGGGGAGGTGAGGCCAGGAGGGCGGCAGTGTGGACAGCCGCCTCAACGAGGTAGATGGGAGGGCCCTGAGTGGCCCCCATTCTGGTGGGGTGCTCCAGCGGAGAAGGGAGAGGCGTGAGAGGCAAATGCAGCTGCCTCTGACCACAGGCAGCGAGGCCTGCCCTGGCTTCTGCAGAGGAGACGAGGCGTGCAGTGAGCAGGGAGTGGGTGGGTCCGATTTTGAGATTATTGAGAGGAGTTCTCAAGATTGACGGGGAGGCGGGGAGGACGGCGATGAGTTGCGGCCCAGCGGCAGTGAGTGACCCTGGCAAGTTTAGCTCGCTCGCACAGAGGGTGACCTTTGTACCTACTTCATCCCAGTCTCACCGGGGTGGCTATTCCACTTTACAACAGCCGCCTCGCAAGCTGAAAATTGCTCTGCTGTGCTCTTTGGGAAAGGAGGTGTCAAAGGTAGACCTGGGAGGAGGGAGCCTGCCAGAGCCGGTGGGCATTGGCGGCCCTGGCCACACCGCTTGGGTCCTCTGACCGCAGCCCTGGGGAAGGTGCCCGAGCAGACGCTGCTCTGGGGCTGTGAGGCCCAGGGCGGGCCACTCAGTGTCTCCAGCCTGACGGGACTGAGTCACTGCTGATGCCCAGGGAGTCGACGGGAGAGGCGGGAGATGACCTAACCCAGTCTGGGGAGTAATGACCAATGCTTGGTCCTCCTTGACAACGGTCCTGGGCCTCTGTGGAATCGTTTCTTATCTGTCTCCTGCCGAGACTGCAGGCTCCCGAGGAAAGGCCTGTCTCGTGCCCCCCCACGTGCTGTCTTTGAAAGGGTCACCCCGGAAATAGTCACGACGTGAATAAATGGCAGCCCTGGCGGACACGTGCTCTTTGGGCTGAGTCCCTTCGGTCTCGGGGTGAGTCCGCCCGGAGCCGAGGGGATGCCTCTGGCTCCAGGGGCGCGTCCCTCCGCTCGGCGCACGCAGGGAGGTCCTGCAACTCTGTCTTTCATTTCTCTAGGACGCGGGCCCGATGGAGGCTGAGGAGCCTCACCGCGGAGCCTCCACCTCTGTCTCTGCCATGGCGGAGTTCATTGTCCACCCTGCCGTGCTCGTGAGGAGCGATCAGCTGCCCGCCTTGGGGCCCACGGCTCAAGAAGGCCGGGACCCGGCCCACGAGTGGGCCGAGGGCTGCCGACAGCTGGCGACTCCGCAGAGGGCTCCCTTCCTGGACACGCGGGGCCCGGCCCCTACGAGTGTGTCCCCTGTCCCCGTGGATGCCTCTGCCGAGGCGAACGGCCAGGAAGACCCCGTGGCTGAGGCCTGCACCGCTGCAGCGTGTCCAGCCGGCGGACAGGCAAGGACAGCAGCTTCCCAGCACAGATCAGAAGACGCCCCGATATCCAGCGAACTGCGCAGCCAAGTGGAGTCTAGATCTGAGCTCACCACTCGGACTTGGGGACCTGGACACGCGAGCCAGGTAGAGGAGAGTTCTCCAGCCACGTCTGCCCAGACCAGGCTTGGGCTTTCCTGTGAAGAGCACCCTGCCGTGACCAGCTCGCCCAGGGGCGCCCCACGTGGATGTGTGGGGCCAGGGGAGGCGGCACAAGAGAGTCAGAGGCAAGAGGAGCTCATGGATCCCTGGGAGCCCCGGTGGCCGCAGGAACAGGGACCCGCAGAGCCTCAGGGGGAGAGAGCTGCGGGGGCAGGGGTGGACTCAGATGGGCATCTAGGGGGGCAAGAGCGGCCCAGTGACCGAGGGGGCGACCCGGGGCAGAGGTGGAGGCAGGTAGGACAAGGTGAGGTGATGCTCGTAGAACAAGCACAACGGGAGAAGCTGGTGGGGGAGCTGGGAGGCCTGGATCTGGGGGGGTCAGCCCACGGGGGCGTGGCGAGGAGCACCCAGGGCCAGGGAGAAGTGGAGGTGGGGGAGCAGAGGACAGGCATCTGGAGGAGCCTGGAGGAGAGCAGGGTGTGTGCTCAGCAAGAGGAGGTTGAAAGCTCAGTGCGGAAGCCAGAGAAAGGAACTGGGGGGCCAGAAGAAGGGGGTCAGCGAGGGGGAGAGGGAGCAGTGGAGGGGCCAGAGGAGGTGAGGTGGACTCAGGAGGGACCTGACGATGGGCTTGGGGGTGCCCTGCAGGGGGTGGACGGAGGAAGGGGTGCCGGAGAGGGGGGCGAGCAGGGCGGCCCTTCCGCACCGGCTTCAGGGGCCCCTGCGGTCCCTCCTCCCTGCGATGCCAGTGTCCCGGTGAGCAGGGAACCCAGGACTCAGTGTCGGGCTGGGCAGCGGTCCCCAGGGGCTCTGCCTTCTGCACTGGAGCCAATGAGGTGGTCCTGGCCCGCGTCTTTGGCCAGTTCCTTCCCTGCTGGGGGGTCACCTGGCTGGGAAACTATGTGGGACAGCCAGCCAGGGGGGTCCGAGCTGGGGAAGTGGACCGATGTGGTCCTCACAGGTACAGCCGTCACCCCTCCGCGGACCCCAGATTCGCCTCCTTCCAGCCCCGCCGACGTCTTGCCTGGCGCGTCTGCCAGCCCCCCGGCTGCTGTTGCAGTATCTCTCGACACTGTGCATTCTCCAGAGACCTCCAGCGCCTCTCTGGGGCCCCCTGCCCTGCTCCATGGCTCCCCCCCTGCAGAGGCCCCCCTGGACCCGTACGCCAGCGCCCCCTGGCCCAGCTGCCCAGGGCCCGGCCCGCACCTGCGGAGCAACTCCTTCCCCGGCCCTCACAGGACTGGGCTGACGCCTGGCCTGGCGGGAACCTCCCTGTCCGTCTCCCATTCCGAGCTGCCCCGGGGGCAGCCCCCCCAGAAAGACTGCAGCTTCATTCTCCAGCCCCACCGTTTGCTCTCCACTCCGGAGCAGGATTCCCCAGACTGCGCCTCAATTCCGGACAGAGCCAGGCATGTCCCCGGCAGCCAGTGCTGCAGCCCCCCACAGAGTGAAGCCTTTGCACCCAGTTCTCCTGCCTGTGCCTCGTCCCCCCACCGCGTCTCTGCAGACTCGAGGCCCTGCGAACCTCTGCTGCCCCCTCCCCTGGAGAAGAGGCAGGCGCACCCCTCCTCTGTGGAGAGAGACGGACATTTCTGCACAGCGGACCCCAAGCCGAAGCACCTTCCTCCTCCCTTGACCCTGGGTCCGGAGCTCAACGGCCCTGGATCTGGGGCTCAGCAGCCGCAGCACCCTTATGTTCCCAGCCCCCAGGTGGCAAGGCAGTTCCGACCTCTGCCCTGCACCCCCGATGTCCCCCGCCGCTCCCAGACCTCTGCCTCCCCCAGGCAGTCCTACAACAAGCCGCTGCCCCCCACTCCTGACTGCTCGCAGCCTCACTGTTCCCCGTCTTCCAGCAGCCCGAGGACCTACAAGCCGCTGCCCCCCATCCCCATCACGGACCCTTTCTCCGAGCCGCCCCCGTTGCCCCCGAAGACCAGGGGCAGGAGCCAGAGCGTTCAGGGAGGACTCAGCGATTCAGGGAGTCGAGCCAGGCCTTGGCCTGTGTGTCAGGAGTGGACAGTCCCTGCCCCCGCCTTGGCTGGACGCACGTCCTGGCCCCCGGCCTCGGGCAGGTCCACAGACGCTTTGGGCTCCGCCAGCGCGAGTCAGAGTGCGGTGACAGCTGGCCTGGCTTTCAGCAACATGAGCAGCCTCGTGAGTCCCTCTTCCCCCACCTCCCCCTGGACTGGGGAGCTTCAGGGGCCTGCGTGGGACCCGGGGCCGCCAGAGGAGCTGAAGACCCCCGCCATGGCGTCTCTGAGAACAGCCCCCCCGGGAGGCACCAACGGCCTGAGGAGGACAAGTCAAGACCTAGCGAGGCCTCCGGAAAAGCCCGGTCACCCCCACCTGGAGAAGGCGTCCAGCTGGCCCCACAGGCGGGAGCCGGGCAGGGCACGGGAGCCCGGCAGGGGTCAGCCCACCGCCCCCAGCGAGGGGTCCAGCAGGAACAAGGGCTGGAACCGGCAGGGCCTCCGCAGGCCGTCCATCTTGCCCGAGGGCGCTTCAGGTAGGCCGGAGGGGCCCGTGATGCCAGACCAAAGCTCCCAGCCCTCAGCCCTCACCCCATCCCTGCCCCCCGGGTTCCTGCAGTCCACCGCTGGCGCCGCCTACGCGTGGCCCCAGTCCTGGGGGCCCTTTCTGAGCTCAGGTCACAGTCCCCTGCTGTGCACCCCGCCCCCCGTCACCCCACCAGGGTGCTCTCGGGGCTGCTCTGTAACGACCCTGCTTTCGCCCCGTCCGGTTCCCACACAGGACCCGCCACGGAGAAACCCTCTGGCTCTCCCGACACCCTCGTCCTCCGGTAAGTTCCCCTCTGCTGCTGGCCTGACTCTTCCTCGGACGCTGAGGCCGCCCTGTTAACCTGGGCGGCTGACGGGACGGGGGCGCACAGACACCAGGATTCCCGAGTAGGGAGACCCTCCTCTCACCAGGGCCTGCCAGCTGAGTCCAAGCCAGCTGTCCGCCCACGGGCCGAGCCCTGTTAGAGCCTGCGGGAGGGCCTGGTCACGACACGGCCCCGGCGTCCCGGAGGTTAGATACTCTGTCGTCTGAAGTACCCCCGGGTTGCTCTGGCAATGGCCAGCAAGCTGCCCAGAGCCCTTCTCTCTCCTCAAGGGAGAAAAAGCCCAAGGAGGCGAAGCCTGGCTTTTCCAGACACTCGAGGCTCATCAACTCCTGTGAGTACCTGCACACCGATCTGGAGGCCCACGTGGGGTCCCCCAGCCGCTGGAAGGGGCCGGTGGCCGCCAGCAGTGGGGGTGATGCCCACAGGGGAGCCGGAGGCCGCGTCCCTGTGCCTCAGCTCACCATCGCTGCCCCCTAATTCTGTCCCCTGCTGCTCTGCCCCGCAGCCCAGCTGCTCTACCAGGAGTACAGCGACGTGTTTCTCAACAAGGCGATTCAGAGCCAGAAGCGACTGGACAGCATAGCGGAGACCCCGGGGCCCGCCTCCCCCCGGCACCCCCGGAAGGCCCTGGTGTCCTCCCTGTCCATGGCGTCCAGCGTCTCCCTGTGGCAGGAGATCCCCGTGGTGCGCAACAGTGCCATGCTGCACTCCATGACCCATGGGGACCAGAAGCTGCAGGAGGTACCGGGGCCGAGGGCGGGCAGGGCACACTGCCCGGTCTCACTGGCTGGCACCCCGCACCGCCACAGCGCACGGCCCCCGCCCGCACACGGCGCTCACCAGACGCTCCCCGCAGGCGGTCTCAGCGGGTTTCTGCAGGACACCACTGCCCCTCCCCACCCTCCCTCCCTCACCACTGCCTTGCCCTTCGCTGCCACGTGCCATCGGTCTGGCCTCCAGCAGAGCGCCACGTGTCTGGATTTGCGGGGGACGGTATTAACCCCCACTGCCACCTCCGTTTCACTCTCCAGCCGGGAGTGTGGGCTGCTCGCTGGGCTCTTGCACGGTCCCTCGGCCTGGCCTGGGGCCCACGGGACTCGCAGAAACGCTGCGGGGACCCCTGGTCTCTGCCGAGCCCTCACAGACAGAGGCTGTGGCGGAAGCTGTTGGTCTGTGATACCGCTGCAGAGTCTCCACGGAGAGCCTCTCTCCAGAGTCAGTGTGCACCGGGTTAGAAACATCCTTCCCGGGCAGTGGGACGAGTGGCCCCGGCCGAGCTCTGAGCCCAGGATGAGGTGTCAGGTCCGCTTCAGCGCTTTCCCTTTGGCCAAGGGGCTCCATCTCCTCAGCTCTCCCCGGGGGTCAACTGGCTGCAGAGAGTTACGGGGACAGCAACAAAGAGAAGTTCCCGGTTCCTAGCACAGAGAATCCCTCAGAAATGTTCACGGCCTGAGTTCGAGCCCTGGTGTCATCCTGTGCATCTCAGCCGTGGGACGCGCGCTGCTGACAGTCAGACTTTGTCGGCGGAGGAGGATGCTGGCCTTGCTGGCTGCGTGGGGCTGAGGGCAGTGACCTGTTCTTACCTTTGAGCGTAACTCCCGGCACAGAGTCATGCTCCCCGCTCAGGCGCTGAGGAGTAAAATTTTGAAGAGAGACTTGTGGAGAAGCTTAGATCTTATCAAATCAAGCACAGATTGGTTCACATTTTAAAGATTTATTTTTGCACACAAGAACTGGGGTCCAGGCCAGGGGTGCAGGGGCGGCGAGAGGCTTCACCAGAGACAGAGTGGGGAGCAGAACAGGCAGATCAACAAAGTCCACTGCTGAGAGGAGCAGCGGGCGGGTCAGGAGAGGTCTGCCGCGCCCTGTGGGTCACCTCCGGGGCCGGGGCTTGAACTCACACTGCAGTGGCTTTCGCTTCTTAGTGCTGTGCTGTGCTGTAACCCCCTGCGCCACCAGGGAGGGCCCTCAGTTGTGCTTTAAATTAACTGTCCTCTGGCCTCCCTGGTGGTGCGGGGGTTAAGTGCAGCTCTCTGAGGTTGTCCGCAGTCCCTGCCGCCTGAGTTCCATCCCCTGATCCCCAGCCAGGGAGTGACCCACAGGGCGCAGCAGACCCTCCTGTCTCCCCTCTGCTCCCCTCATCAGTGCGTTTCAGCCGATCCGCCCGTTGTGCTCCCCGCTCTGTCCTGGTGAATCCCCCGCCCCGCCCCGACACCCTAGCTCCTGTATACATGGATAAATAAATCTTCCAAGAGCGAGGTGGTTGACCCTGCTCTTCCGCACGCCCCAGGCCAAGTTCGAGCTGATCGTGTCCGAGGCCTCTTACCTGCGCAGCCTGCACATCGCCGTAGACCACTTCCAGCAGTCCGCCCAGCTCCGGGCCACCATGCTCGCCCAGGAACACCAGTGGCTCTTCTCTCGCCTGCAGGACGTGTGTGACGTCAGCGCCGCGTGAGGCTTCGTCCCCATATCCACGCCCAGCCCCTCCCAGTCTGTGGCCCTTCAGCGGGGGGCCCGTCTCAGCCACTCCTTGCTGACCCCAGGGCCGGTGGCACAGGGAGCGCAGAAGGGCGGAGGCTGTGTGGGTGGGCGGGTCTGCGCACGGAGCTGTACGTGGCAGAGGGGGGCATCAGCGAGTGCAGGAGGCGGCATGGGAGCGCCCGAGTAGCGTATGATCTGGCAAGACCGAACGAGAATAGGAACTGGGCTGTTAGGACCAGACGGTTAGATCAGGGGCCTCCTCAGGGGCTCGGTCAGCCCGCGCGGCCGCGGCGTGGACGGACGTCGCCGGGAGCGCACACAGCAGGGGTGGGTGGCCGGCTGCCCCTCTGGCTGCTCGTCTCATGCTGTCTGTTCCAATGCTCCGCAGGTTCCTCTCAGACCTGGAAGAGAACTTCGAGAGCAACATCTTCACCTTCCAAGTGTGTGATGTCGTCCTCAACCACGCCCCCAACTTCCGCAGGGTCTACCAGCCCTACGTCACCAACCAGACCTACCAGGAACGCACCTTCCAGAAACTGCTGTGAGAGCCGCCCCCCCACCCCCTTTCAGACCCCAGGGGGGCCCCGCAGGCACCGTGCAGCAAGACTCTTCAGTCCCCAGCCCAGAGCCCGTCCCCAAAGCATGCGCCCCTGTGTGCACCCCGTGATCTCAGCCCTAGCCCTCAGAAGCCTTGGCCATCGCGGCTGGCCTCTGTGCCCCTGGTTCCCACTTTGCCAGCCCAGAGACATCCGGGGAGCCCCCCTCACCTACTCTGTGCATCCCGAGTTCCCCCCCACCCCCCGTGCTCCCTCGCCCCCCTTACCCGAGGCTTGCCGCCTGCAGGGCTAACAACAGCAGCTTCCGAGAGGTCCTGGAGAAGCTGGAGAGCGACCCCGTGTGCCAGCGCCTCTCGCTCAAGTCCTTCCTGATTCTGCCCTTCCAGCGCATCACCCGGCTCAAACTGCTGCTCCAGGTAAGGGCCCCGGGCTCAGCCCTCGCTCAGGGAGCCCCGGGAAGAGCCTGCCTTCTGCCACCTGCTGGGACTTGTGAGTGCCCCCTCCTTTCTGAGAAATGCCTGCACTGGCACCCTGTGCTGAGCCTCCGTCAGCGCACCCAGCCCGCTCTTGCACGTGCCCGTCCTCCTTTCCATCTGGCTCCCTGCTGTGTGTGTTCTAGAACATTCTGAAGAGAACGCAGCCTGGGTCTTCAGAGGAAGCAGAGGCCATGAAGGCACACCACGCCCTGGAGGAGGTAGGCAGCCCTTCCAGCCCCCCACCCCCATCCTTGCCGCCCCCGGCCCCCCCCCCATCTTCAGCCCCGCTGCTGCAGATAGCACAGCACCCTGGTAATGGTTCTCTCGCCCACCTCACTGCACCCCTAAACCTCCCATGGACACGCCCCACCATCGCCCCTCCCACACGGAGCACCCATCACGCCAGGGGGTGGTGTTCTCGCTCCCCCAGGCCAAACCCCACTTCCCCGGCGCGGGAAGTTCCTACAAGTCACGCAGGTGTCCCGGGGCCGGGGCTTGGCCGAAGCTGCCTGCGCTCAGCCCCAGCCCTGCACAAGGCGGCGGCTCTGACCTGCAGGTGGCCCAGGGCGGCCACTGGCACAGCGCTAAGGCAGGCTTCCTCTCTCCCTGCCCTCCCGACGCCCAGCTGATCCGCGACTGCAACGACAGCGTCTACAAGATGCGCCGGACGGAAGAGCTGATCTACCTCAGCCAGAAGATTGAGTTTGAGTGCAAGGTGAGCGCCCGGCCCGGCACCAAGCCCCGGCACGCGGCCACAGGCGCCCCTGTCCCTCTGCAGCCCTCCGCTCTGTCCGCCGGGGGCACCTGGCGTGTCTCCGACATCCGGGACTCACTGTGCAGGGAGAGTGGGGGTGCAGCGCTGTGCCGGGGAGGCGCCCGAGGGTGCCTGTCTGCGGCAGGTGCCTGAGCAGACTCTGGGGACAGGAGGGGCAGGAAGCTCCCTCAGGGCTCCCTGAGGAGAGGGCGTGGGCACCCGGGGCTGGCGAGGGAAGGCTCTCGAGTGTGCACGGCTGTGAAGCTGGTCTTGGCGCTTGAACCATCCAGGATTTTATCGGGTCTCTCCGGTCTGACCCAAACAGCCCACAGTTGATCCGGATTGGACTTCAAGCCAGTAAACCCTGCAGCACTCTCCACACTGAGCTTCCAGCTGGGAGCAGACTCCCCTAGAGGAAAGGGGAGACCCCTTCCCCGTGTCCTCACAGCTCAGCCCCCTTGTCCCCCAGACCTCTGACCCCACATCCGGCTCCAACCGCTCCTTTCACTCTGCTGTAATCAAAGGAGACTCAGTCAGGACGCCCCTCCGTCCGTGTCCACTCCGCAGCCCCCGGGCCTGCCTGGCCTGTGAGCCCTGGGCTCTCCCCGCAGTTCTTCAGCTCAGGCTTCTAAGCTCTCCGTGGAGCTCCTGTCCCGCCTGGATGCTGGTCCTGGTGCCCCAACCTGCAGACCCAGACTTGGGGGGCGGGGGGTTCGCCCGTTCAGAGGGAGCTGGCTGGGAGTGGGCGGGGTGTGAAGAGGTGGACACGAGGGAGACGCAAGCAGGCGGCCGGCTGGAGGGGCCTCCGCTCGGCTTCCCTGACGCTGCCTCTTCCCCCTCCCGCCTCCAGATATTCCCGCTGATCTCTCAGTCGCGCTGGCTGGTGAAGAGCGGGGAGGTGACCGCCCTCGAGTTCAGCGTCTCCCCAGCACTGCGGAGGAAACTCAACACGCGCCCGATCCACCTGCACCTGTTCAACGACTACCTGCTGCTGTCTCGGCCCCGAGAGTCAGTGACTGTGGAGGGAGACGGGCGGGCAGGAGGGAGACCGGGCGGGAGTGGTCAGGGTGTCAAGAGGTGGACACAAGGGAGACGCCGCAAGGGTTCTGTTCCTGCGGGAGCCCCTCTCAGTGCCCCGCCCAGGGGCGTCAAGGTTGTAGCACAAGAAGCAGAAAAGAGGGTCCCAAGCGAAAAAGGGGGGTCCCAATAAGTGGTGGAAGAGGTTGCACCGCAGGACCAGTTTGCGTGAGCGACGAAGAGCGAACTGCGATGAGCTCATGCGCTCTCAGGTCGGTGTGGTGGCCAGGCACAGCCCCCAGCCAGGGCCGGGTCCTAGCTCCTTGGCCCTGCCTGGGCCAGTGTCTTCACCCCGTGACAGTGACCCCTTGCCCATCGCTAGCAGTGTGCGGAGCTGGGGTTACAGTCCGGGAGGAGGTCCGTTGGCTAGGAGAGCTGAGGACGGGATGCCAAGCCCACAGGGGTGAGCGTGGGTGAGGGCGAGAGCGCAGCCAAGTGGGCGCTGTGTTTTGCAGGAATAACCGCTTCCTGGTGTTTGACCACGCCCCGTTCTCCTCGGTCCGCGGAGAGAAGTGTGAGATGAAGCTGCACGGGGCGCACAAGAACCTCTTCCGACTCTTCCTGCAGCACAGCGCGCAGCGCTCCCAGTCCGAGTTCCTCTTCAGCACCGAGACTCAGTGAGACGGGGCAGAGGCCGGTGGGGGCTGGGGGCACGCCCGGGGGGAGGGGCGCGCGCAGAAAATGTGCCCAGAAAACAGCTGCCCCGTGTCTGGCTCAAGTAAATGCTGGCTGGGGCTCCCCTGCCCGTGCGCGGGGCTCGGCGCGCGTGGGTGCACAGCCCCGGCCGGGTCAGCGTCTGTGGCTACTCTGAAGCCGAGAAGGACAGAGTCCGTGAGGCCCAGGACGGAGCTGGACCGGGCAGGGGTGTGCCAGGCTGCCGGCAGAGCAGGGGTCTACTGGGCAAGCCAGCAGGCCGCCGGCCGCCCGGACCGTGTGGACGAGGACCAGGATTTAGCTTTCCTGCTCCCTCCCCCGACCAGTCTCCTGCTGAGCAGAAATCTGTAACGCTGAGAACTTTGACTTGCTCATCTTTTTAATTATGAGTAATAATAATTCTTTTCCATAGGCGTACGCTTTGGGGAATATTAGAAAAAAACAGCAAGTATTAAATTTGGCCCCCAGTGGCTGCAGTAGCGAACAGCTGCAAGCCTGAGGCTTTGCTTTTTTAAAGATTTATTTATTTATGCATACAAGAGCTAGGATGCAGGCCAGGGCTAGGGAACTCCCCAGAGACAGAGCAGGGAGCATAACAGGCAGATCCGCGAAGTACACTGCTGAGGGGGGGCAGCCGGGAGACAGGAGGGGTCTGCTGCGCCCTGTGGGTCAGCTCCCTGGCTCCCGGATTATAGTGCGTGACCAAAAAGGAAAAAAAAGTAAAGGTACCTTTGTCTTCCTGATCGAATTACGATTATAAAATAATTCCCACCGCAGATATTGGATGGAAGGCAGAGCACTGTCAAGGACCACGCAGAGAGATAGAGGGAATCTCCAGGAAGATGAGTTATTTTGCTCAGTGCCATCCCCCAACTGGGAGTGCCAATATGTAGTCTTGACAGTTGACTTGATGCCCCCATTTGAAAGACAGGAGAAGCCGCTAGGGGGACGAGCTTCAAAAGGAGAGAAACAGAGTGACAAGGGGCGTTAGCATGGAGTTCGGGGACGTGTCATTTCCAACCGAGGGGGGCCCGCATTGCAGACGTCATGAAGTAGATGCAGTCAAACTGGACATGAGTGGCCCCTGCCCCACCCCCCAGGGCCACGGCTGAAGCTCTGACTCTCCGTTTTGCTTTCTCAGAAGTGAGAAGCTTCGCTGGATCTCGGCCTTGGCCATGCCACGAGAAGAACTGGACCTTCTAGAGTGTTACGGTGAGGGGGTCTGAGGGAGGGAAACACGTGGCCTTTGGGGGCAGAGCTTAGATGGCTGGGTGGTCACTCTGGGACAGTCTGCTCATGACATGGGTTCAGAATGTCAGGGTAGAAGACTGACCTTGAGCTTCAGCACTGAGTTGCATGTGTTGCCAACTGCCCGTCCCCATGGCAACACCCCCTTCTCCCTTCCTGCCCTCCCAGTGGCTAACTTTCTAAAGAGATGCGTCTTCTTAAGTCTGTCTTGCCATTTTTTTTTTTTAAGATTTACTTATTTGTGCACACAGACCTGGGGTACAGGCCAGAGGTGCAGGGGCAGTGAGAGGCTTCACCAGATACAGCGTGGGGAGCAGAACAGGCAGATGGATGAACTCCACTGCTAAGGGGAGCAGGGGGAGACAGGCGAGGTCTGCCGCGCCGTGTGGGTCAGCTCCGGGGCCGAGGGCTGAGCTTGCCCTGAAGCGCTGCGGCCGGCTTGCAGTGCCGCGTCCTAACCCGCTGCACCACCAGGGAGGGCCCTGTCTTGCTGTTATTTTGCCTTGGTCTTACTGGGTCAAGGATCTTGGGGCAGGGAGAGGAGAAGGCCTGGCTGGAGGGGAAGTGCTGGAGGAGACAGCGACCTAGCAGGGCTGTTCAGACCCTCCTGAGCAGGCCGACCTGCCACCAGCACGCTTCCCCCAGGCATGCAGGAGCGCCGGGCAGCCACAGGCCACCCTGAGGAGGGGTGTGCGATCGTGCCAGGACTGGACTTGCGGGCCTTGCATAAATCCTGCCATTTTTCTCCAACACGGATCCCTCCAGAGGGGAACTGAATGCAAGGGAACACTGTGTGTTTAGTGACTCACGAGAACAAACAAATACAAGGAAGCTTGGAAAAGGAAGTAAGAGGACAAAGCTGTAAACCGCGTTCTGCTAACGTCTCCCCGCCTCCCCGTGTGATCGTCTGCGGGGTTGCAGTTCCCGGACGGGGATGCGGCCCCGTGATTCTCCCTCCTTGGCCGTGCTCATGCCGCGGCAGAGGGGAGGATGCTAGAAAACAAAGGACAGAGACCAGGACAGCGGGTTGTCTGTTCTCCGAAGGACTCAGTGCAACGTGGTGGGAGAGACAGCAACCAGCCTGCGCGGGAGAGGCTGTGGGTCAGGCCCGGGCCGAGGCTCTCTGCCGGCTGCTTCAAACCATTGGAAGTTCAGTTTCCAAGTCAGAGTGTCATAAAAATGTGGGACGTTCATCCTAATCAGCCTGGTCGGTCATTTACAGAGGAGGAAGCTGACCTAAAGAGGATTAAGTGCCTTCCTCAGTTCCTACCTGGAGCCTCACACCTGAAGTTGTGAGAAGAGGAATGAGTCACAGACTGAGGGTTTTACGATCCCCTCAGAGGGACAGGACGTGCACATGAAGCGAGCAATAGGGATAAGGCGAGGGTCCTAGACAATCACTTTAAAAAAAAATTATTATTTATTCATACAGAACTGGGGTACAGGCCAGAGGCTCAGGGGCGGCGAGAGGATTCACCAGAGACAGAGTGGGGAGCAGAACAGGCAGATGAACAAAGTACACTGCTGAGGGGAGCAGCGGGGGGGCCAGGAGAGGTCTGCCGCGCCATGTGGGTCACCTAACCCATTGCACCACGAGGGAGGGCCCAACAGTCACTTCTGCAGTAGCTCAATGCACTGAGGACTCGCGGCAGGGAAGGTCTGAGAGAGGTCACGGGCCTTCCGCTGAATCTCAAGGATTTGTTACACTGACTCACAGGTGGTCACAGAGGATTTCTCAACTCACCTTTCCTAGAAATACAGAATTTTTGATTTGTATAATCTCTGGTATTTCTATTTCTTTATCAGCCATTTTGTTCCCTGGGAGAAAGTGGGGAATGTCCCCGCTGTCTCTTCTGTCTGCTTTTGACGGCCCAGACTCTCTCCCAGGTCCTCCCTGCCTCCCCTGCAGTTCTCTCTCCTCTCCCCTGCAGTTACCTTCCTCTCCTCACCTCTTCACACTCTTCTCTCCCAAAGACTGCCCCCAGGTACAGTGCCTTCGAGCCTACAAGCCCCGTGAGAACGATGAGCTGGCACTGGAGAAGGCGGATGTGGTCATGGTGATTCAGCAAAGCAGCGATGGTGAGAGGGAAAATCCAGGAGTGGGCCAGGCACTGGAGGGGGACGCTGTTGATGGACTGTTCATTTCCTGTGTACCAAGTGGCACCCTTGGGTGGCTTCAAACTCTGGCAGTGTGTCTGCTCAGAGCTGTGGAGGCCAGAAGTCTCAGGACCTGCAAGGCTGGCGGGTCGGTGCACTCCCAGCTCCTATGGGGTCCTTCTGTCTCTGCTTCCTTCAGCCTCTGGTAGCCCTAGCTGTTCCTTGGCTCGCGACTGCGTGGCCCCAGTCTCTCCCATCTTCGTGTGGCCACCTTCCTTGTGCAGGCCCCAAAGTCGCTTTTTGTGTCCGGACACCTGTTAGACTGGCCTGAGATGTCGAGGGTGAATCTTAATTTTATTAATGACATCTACCACTACCCTGCTGCCCAGTACGATCATGTTTTGGAGTATTTGGGGTTAGAATGTCAACGTATATTTTGGGGAAGCCCGATTCAATCTTTTAGAGTTCAGAAGGCTCATGATAGACAGTTGTAGATTTTGCCAGACCCAGGAAACCAGGGTTGGTGCGTGGGGAGGTCGGAGTCCCTCCTGGGGCTTGTCCTACCTCTTTAGCATTAGGGGTCAGAAATGTTTTGGGGAAGGAAGCCCAGGGGAGATTATTATGAGCTTTTCCCAGGTCATTTTTCTTCCTCCCATCCTGCCCTTAGGTTGGCTGGAGGGCGTGAGACTCTCAGATTGGGAGCGAGGCTGGTTTCCTACGCATCACGTAGAGTCAATTTCCAACCCAGAGGTCTGTGCTCAGAACCTGAAGGAAGCCCAGCGAGTCAAGACTGCCAAGCTACAGCTGGTGGGACAGCAGACCTAGCTGGACACTGGGAAGAATCTCCTGAGCTGAAGGACAGATGTTTCTAGAGAGGACTGGCCTCAGAATCCTGCAACAGAGACCTTCTGTAGACCAAACCTGGACCTTCTGAAGTCTAAGGGCAAAACTCAGCTCCCAGTCACTACTGCAGGCCTTTCTCTACCTGAGCTTGGTGGGGGGATTCTGAGAGACTTTACACTGGACTCTGAGAAACTTTCGCAGAAGAAAATGGACCTAAGTAGGGTCTAAGTCAAGGAACTTTACTTCTACTATCATATAGTATTTACATCCTCTACTTCTAGAGTGCAGATTCAGAGCCGACCAGAACTGCCATCATGGCCATAAGGTAAACAGAATCTGACCTCAGCCCACTAGAATTGTTTAGGGGGGGGGGTTTAACACAACGGATGGGAGGGTCAGCTTTGGTGACCTCTAACTTACCTCCAGCCCTGGAGATTTTCCGTAACTACTGGTGTGAGGTCAGTGCATGTGCGTCTCTGGGATCTATGTCTGTTGGTGGCATGTGAGAACATCACATTCTCACACTAATAAACTTGGCACTTCAAGTGTTTTCTCCTCAGACCCCTCAGTATTCAGCATGATTCAGAACATGGAATTCTGTAAGAATTTGATGTTGGTGCCATGAAAAACCAAGATGGCACCTTGGTGAGGGCAGCTGCTGACTTCTGCTTTATGACTCCTGAGTGTTTGAGCATGTTTTCTGCTTGCTATGGTCTCAGAGGTGTTAGAAGAAATTTTTAAGTGGGGACAGTGCCACTCCAACCTACCTTCTTGCTGGACCCATAGATTAAAGCCATTCATGACTTTATATTCTGACATGAATTATTGTGAAGGTACAGTCCAGTTCAAGATGAAACAGAAGAGTCCAGGTCAAGGGCCTTAAACTCCAGGCACCACTGCCATGATTCAGCCTGCCCATGTCTCAACATTCTTACGTGTAAAGCACAGGATCGAACCAAGTAACCACCAAAGTCTTACCCAACTCTACAATGTGTGGTTGTCTGTCTCCTTCCAGATTACCTTTCTCAGTTGAGGAATATCACTCTCTCTATTTTTTTGTCAGCTAGAGCACTTTTGCAGCAATAGCTCAGTCGTCTTAAGTTGGGTGATTCTCCTCTGAACATTCTACTGCTTGAGTTTGTCTTTAGAAGGGCTCAAAAGTAGAATTGCATTGCAGCTTTGTACAAAGGTAAGCAGAACACTCAACTTGGCCCTATGTCAATACCTAATGTGATGGTATCAGTTTTGTTGACACATTTTGCTTTCAATCCATCCTAAACATGTTAGCATGGGCCATGTTCTTAAAAGTTTTCACTGTAGCAATTAAGATGGGGCTAATATTTTATATGAAACAAGTTGCAACTGCTGAAAAAAAGTCTGAAATAGGGATATTTGAGGGAAATTTATTTAAGGTATTTCACTCCTTTTATAAAACTAGCTTCCCATTATTAATAAAGAACATTTTATATGTATATATTCATCTATAAACTAATAACTGGTTCTTATTCATAGGAGTAATAGTAATTATAACTCAAGCTATTTGTTCAAGCCAAAATTTGAATACTGGCCATCTGGCCATATGGTTCAAACAGAACCTCATACAACTTTATGTTTTTTAGGAAAATTCTGCCCTATTTTTGTAGAGAGGTTAAATATCATCTTTGGAATGATACATAAGCAATTACTATTTTTTTTAATTGAACCGTCTCTTCTTTACTTGAAGTTACTGAGAATTACCTAGCATAGTTGCAGCTAAGTTCTGCAAGATCTATAACTGGAACTGTTCGTGAGATAATGAATATGCTCTCATTGCATTGGGTTATTCTTACAAGATCTAGGAAATTAAAAGACATTTGGTTTTTACTTGTCTCTAGACCCTTGGTTTAAAAAACAAAGCTTAGATCTCCGCAGTCTCTCTTCAGCTGAATTTTGAGTTTTGGGAAATAGCAGGTCCGGCCGTTCTTCAGACATCCAGAATTTAACTCAGGCCTCCTGGCGGTATTGGGGAGAAATCTCCCTCTCCTAGTAATGAAATTGACATCAGACAGATGAACATGAGAAAAATAAATTATGTTTGAACAGGAGCCCCACACAAAAAACATGAGACTCAAGGAAGTGACGAAAGCCAGAAGCTTTCATATTTTTAGACCAAGAAAGAATACCTTTGAGAAGCATCGACAAAATCAAGGGTTTGGACCTTAAGTAATAAATGAGTGAAGAAGTAGCAGGTTGTCTCTACAGCGTAGGGGTCCTTAGCGCCTCTGTCACATGGCACGAATGTTCTCTGTCCTTCTGGTACAGAGACAGTAGCTTTCACATGGGAGATTTATTTCCTGCTTTCAGGGGACAAAGGGCGGCCAGACTGTCCTTGCTCTTTCTCAGCATCTTTCATTCCGAATAGTCAAAATGCCAGAGGGCCATATGGTCCTCTTAACACAGCGGCTCCCTGTGGAAAGTTGGGGAAGCAGCGGTTAACGCTTTCGAAGAAAACGGCATTCGATGCCCGTCCGAATGTACAGTATTCTGTTGGTTTTGTAAACAAAACCTCACACAGGAGTAGTGTCTCGAGATCACCACCAGTCCTGCCACAGACCTTGCCTTGCCTCAGCATGCTTGGAACTCACGGTGACGTGGAAATACACCGAGCTGGGCCCTCAGCGCCCTTGACTGTTGAATTTCCATTTTATCACTTTCAGCTGCAAAAACTCGTCTTTAAGCTTTATTTTTACCTCCAATTTTCATTTCCAGCTTGTTACATGCTTGGGGTTACATGGTTCCCGCTGCCCGTCATGGCGTTTGTAAAGATTTTGATGAGATCAGCCTGCACCATGAGGGCGAGATTTACTTGCCCTAATTTTGTCTTCTGTCTCTCAAACAACCTCTGTGTCCACGCTACAAGAGCAAGTGGATTTTGATCCCATGATGTTTTTTTTGTTTGTTTGTTTTTTGTTTTTGTTTTTATGAATTAGCCTTTGGGATGGAAGTTGTTGAAGAGCCTTTGAAAACCCAAAGAACATTCACTCACCCTTACCCCGCTTCCTGCCCAGGCCCCGCTGGCTCTTTCCACAATGACCTGTGCTTTTAAGCACTTGGTGATGCTTCCCTGATCACACCCTCTTCTGCCTAAGGAGGTCAAATGAGAAACCTACTCTTTTGGCTCGCCAGTGCTTGCTAGTTACATCCCGCCTCCCCCGCCCACCGACAGACACAAGCCAGGATGTGGCATGTCCCTACATGGTCTCGCAAACCTCCGCGTAAAGCCCTCGCTGGTGGTGATTTCGCCCCTTCGCCGAGCAGTGACCTCCAGCTGCGTTTGCCGTAAACATGACTCAGAAGCTGCGTGGTTCCAGCCATTCCAAGTCTGTTGCTTCATGTAACCGTTCTAACCCTGAACTCAGGTGTGCGGAGGAGCCAAAGGTCGAGCGCAAACAAGCTAATGAGAAACAGATGCCGAAGCGCCCTGGCCCTCCTCTAGACTTAGTTTTGACCCACTTCTTCCGGCCTGTGCATGTTCAATCACAATTACAGAGTGGAAATTTCTCTAGTCCCTTTCTGGAAGAGGCGGAGGGAAAGCTTGCATTTAGTCTGTCAGACTCTGAGAGACCAGAGCAGAAACGAGGCCGCTGGCCGGCCCTGCACGGCTCAGGGAGTGGAGGTGAGTGGCTGAGGGTGTTTATTCTTTCTGGGTGGCCTGAGAAGAGGCTCTGTGTGGAGAAAAGGAGCCAGTCGGTGTGTGCTGTAAACTTTTCCAGCGCTGGTGAGGAAGGGAGTGACTGATCCCTGCTGCTTGGAGAGTGAGTCATGAGCCCGAAGGCTCAGCCTGCTGCTGGGCGGGGCGGCCTGGCCCAGAAGCTCCCAGGCAGCACCAATGGCAGAGACGGTCTTTCCTGGCACTGTACCTGGGCATTTCAGAGAGGCAATTACCTGTAACACAATGGAAACTCAGAGCAGGAGCCAGTTTATTGCTGCGGGTGAGATGGTGGACATGCTGTAGACCTGGGACTCCAGTTCAGACTTTTCTGGAAGGGGGGGGCTGCAGGCCTCAGACCCTGGGACACTGTGGCAGAGACCCACAAACCCACCACAGAGCAGACAGTGTCAGGAGAAATAGGAAAGGCAAAGAAAGAAGGCACCCATCCCGCCCGTTCCGGAGTGCTCTCCTGCTGGGACTGACTGGGGGAGGAGAAGCTCCTGCTCCCCTCGTGGACTAGAAGAGCCCAGGACCTTTGTGTCTCCCGGGAGCCTGCAGAGGGCTGGCCTGATGCCACTAGGTCAGGTGACGCCCGGCCACTGATGGGAAGGGCCAGCAGCCCTCAGGATTTCCACAGGGACCTGCTGACTGAGCCGGTGAAAGGTCACAGAGACGTGCTGTCCAGCACGGAGGTGGACCAGTGTGTACCGACCGGTGATTTTTGAGAGCGGGGGAGGAGCTGGTGGTCACACTTGCGAAAAGAAGCAGGTTTGGGCGATAGGACGGAGCTGGGCCAGCAGCAGGCAGGAAGCAGGGCTGAAATGTGGTTTCGCAGCTGTTTATCATCCTTGCCTTAAAGTGCTGGAACATCCAGAGTGAGTGTGTGTGCGCGTGCACACACACGCCTGGGTGGAAGGGGTGACTTTAGGTTGAAGAGAAGTCAAGAGGATCTTTCCCTGAAGGTGACATTAGTGCTGAGAGAGTCGGTTCCCTCCTTGAAATAATACTAACAGAAGAGCGTCATGGGGGAAATGATGGTGTTTTCCGGTTGAAATCAAGGAAATGTGAGCACTAGTTTTTAAAAGACACTTGGAAGTAGTCTCTTAAATGTTGGGGCTCTGGGGATATATTCTTGTTCACTGGGTATGAAAATGTGCCTGATTGCAGCAACTCAAATGACGATGACTTAGAGGAAGTAATAGAAAAGTCAACCCAAAATACATAATGTGCGTGCAGGTGACTTAGCCGAGAGCCATGCTTCAAGGACCCAAGTGCTTGTTGTTATTGTCTCTAGAAGTCTCTAGAAGGGGAACTGTTTCCATGGCAGGCTATAGGGGTGGTGGGCGAGGGCAGGGCCACCCTGTGAGGAGGATCCGGGAAAGGCCGACACAGAGCCCATGGGCGGCGGCGCCGTGACTGGACCTCCGTTTCAGATAACAAAATGGCGGCAGGACGATCTCCTTGAGCCACTGTGAGGAGTGACCGAGAGACAAGGTGTATCCGCCCTCCATGCGGCGGGAGAAGCTGTGGTGCCGGGCAGAAACCAGCTCCCTGGGCAGGCAGATTTTGTCAGTTGAGCTCCCAAAGTCCTGAGATTCGAGAATGAGTTTTTTTTTTTTATTTGTGCATATAAGAACTGGGGTACAGTCCGACGGGTGGGGTGAAGGGATTCACCAGAGACAGAGCGGGGAGCAGAACAGGCAGATCTACTGAAATCCACTGCTGAGGGGAGCAGCTGGGAGGCAGGAGAGGTCTGCTGTGCCCTGTGGGTCACTCCCTGGCCTGGGGTGGGACTCGTGCTGCAGTGACTGGCCATAGCTTGATAGTGCTGTGTTTTTAATCCCTGTGCCACCAGGGAGGCTC